GTCTTTAGAAGGCACATCCAGGCAGTCATGGGGATAACATGTTCTCTTCTGGGATCTACAGAACCAGCTCCAGAGCAAGTTCAAAAAGACCTCAGGAGGCAACGCCAACTCCAGTGGCCTCTCCAGAGTCAGAGCGGGCTCCTGGCACAGCTTTTCCTGACCTTCATGGGGCAGAAGAACCACCTGCAGCATGTGGGCAACTTGCTTCAGCTCCTGTGAAGTCTGCAGTCCCAGATCCTGGGCCACAGCGTGTCAGCAGCCACAGCAGAGAGGGCTCCCCGTTTAGATACAGTTTTTGAATGTTTGTGTTTATGTTACATATGCTTAGAATTCAATTGTATTTTTCTGATACTACTGAGTAAAATACAATCTACTTTAAAGAAAATGGAATGAAATACAATTAAAACTAAATTTAATTTAAGTTAAATCAAATTTAACTATGAACCTTCAGAGTGTTGTGCAAATCCATTTTTTCTGGGCCTCGGTGCTATTATTATGAGTTATAGGTAGGAAATAAGTTATCTCTGAGAAGCCATCTAGTTCTAAGGATGTGACATTCTTGAGGCTCAAGACAATGGAGCTCTGGTGGATTTGACCAATGTGCATTTGGACAGGGACCCTTTAAGTCAGGGCTATCCCTGGGTGACCACATTTCATTTGGCTTCATCTCCTACCAGCACATGGGCAAATTAAGTTCTTAACCCCCACTTCCACCCCCGAGCTTCAAATTTGCAGAAAGTTGTAGGGTTTAACCAACAGAAAAATGTTCCTGACCACTGCACCTGGGATAGAAACTCCACCCTGTTCCACTCCCACTGAACGGCATCCTGAGCATCCCCTCTGTAGATGCAGAGCCCCAAAGAGGTGTCAGGGGACAGGAAATATCCCAGGTCCTGGGTCCACACTCTTCTCTTCCGCAGGCACCGCCTGCAAATCTCCTCTGGTATCAGAGCCTCTCTCAGCCCTCAGCCCTGAGCACTGGTTCAGCTGGGCCTTTTCCAAGGCTCTCTGTCTCAACTGAGCCCAGAACAATTACTTCCACCTGAACAAGGTGGTGCGTGCGGCCTGGCTTCTCTCTTTACATCAGTCTCCAAACCACCCTGGAGAGACCGGACTCACACCCTTCTAGGGCACCGTGCCATGCAGACGCTACAATGTCTCAGGACAAATGGGTATCGGCATTGGACCAGACTCATGCCCCTGCCTCAACGTGATCAGCTCTCTAGGTTGACACAGGTATGAAAAACAATTTTAATAGAATGTGATGAGTTTTACAGTTGACCTTTACCATAGTAAGTATGGAGAACATGAGCCCATTGGGGATCACACACCAGGCTCTCTTTAGGATGTGATTCCTAAATCATACCAGAAAATGAGTAACTGTATGTCTACCCACTTCATCCTAATTTTTCATGGAGCATGGCAATGGCGGGAAGCATTGTGAGGTTAAACAGAGGTTGGAGAATTCAAGGAGATTAGGTCCACGTTAGAGGCCATGGTCAGTTGACTTGTACATACCAGCAATGTCCTGGGAAGCGGGGCCTCCCACCGTGGGGGAAGCAACGCCTCCTTTTGGAAGATCAGGACTACGGTCTCCACAGCAGCTGTTCACTATTTCAAATTACACTTTTTAACCTGCCCTCACTTTCCTGGGTCCTTTCCTAAGTTTCACAGCCGACCTCAAAACTAGAGGTTTTTACATTTTTGATTGCTGTTAACATTAGATGGGATGGACCAGAATTTGAACAATTATATTTTAACAAAAAAAAAATAGTTTTAGAGTAAGGACTATGTGCTGGAACTGCTAGGTACTAGTGATCAGTAAAGCTAAAATGAGTTTTTTCCTCCCTAATTTGGAATACAGACATTGGGGACAATGACGTGGTGTGGTTCCCACAGTACAAGCGGGCTTAGGTGGCAGGCAGCATAAAGGAGG